ACTGGGAGGAGGGGAGTTATGGGGGGGAAAAAAAGAGGAACAAATGTAACCTGAACAATAAAGATTTAATTAAAATTAAAAAAAAATAAATAAATAAATTTTGTAATTTGTTATTATTTCTTCTGTTATTCTAAAAAAATTTATTTGCTAACCAAATTCTGTATTTATGACTTTGTATTCTTTCTCTTTTTAAAAATATTTTTATTGATTTTAGAGAGAACGGGAGAGGGAGAGAGAGATGGAAACATCAATGATGAGAGAGAATCATTGATGGGCTGCCTTCTGCATGCCCCCTATGGGGATCGAGCCCACAACCCGGGCATGTGCCCTTGACTGGAATCGAACCCAGAATCCTTCAGTCTGCAGGCTGATGCTCTATCCACTGAGCCAAACCAGCTAGGGCTGTATTCTTTCTCTTTAAGAAAAGAATGCCCTTACCTTTAAAAGCTTTAAGCCCCACAAAACCTGGTTCAACCCTGTTCCTTTTGTTCCCTGCGCTCCAGCCATATTGGAATCCCTCGATGCCCACTTCTTAGGAAAGTGCCGGACACATAGTAGTATCAGGAAAATATCTGTAGATGAATGAATGAATGACTCAGAAACTGGAGTGCTAGAATGTTAACTCCATAAGAACATGAATTTTGTCTGCTTTATTCATTGCTACCTTCCCACATGCAGAATAGTGGCTGGCATACAGCTGGTGCACAATAAGTATTTTAAAAAACAGATCCAGGCCTGTTCAACTGCAGACCATGCTTCTTTCCATTGCCTCCAGTTATTTCCAGTTCACAAAGCATTTTCCCAAGATCCTCTTCACAGATGTAAGAGGTGTCATTTTCATTTTAGATTTAAGGTTAAATGGAGGCTCAGAGGAGAAGTTACTTGCCCCAGGTGACTCAGGGACAGAGCTGAAATCGAAGCCCAGATCTCAAGGGCCAGAAAGCCTTATCCTCCTTGGCCCTCCCAATAAGATGCCCCACAATAAGAAAGCACGTGGTGAAGGAGCCAGTCCTACAACCCAGAGCAGGCAGGTTCCGGAAGAATGACTGTGCATGGACAGCAGGTGGCGCCCATCCACACAGTAGTTACCCTGACTGATGATAGCTCTTGGTTAAGAGACACAAAAACATTTGTCAAACACCAAACTTTGAATTGCCAGTTTAATTTGCTCCCAATGGCCCTGCTTTTGCTTCCTTGGCCATTGCTCTTTAGGCCTGAATAGAAAAACCGAGTCTTTCCCTCCTGAGTAGGGAAAAACCCAGTTCTCCATCTCCTGTGTGTTTTCCCTTTACTTTTACACAGAACACTTCCAAGCAATTCTCCATGACAACAGCTGGGTGTCCTACGATTTAACACAATTCTGACACTGTCTACCTGGAGGTCTCACAGGTTAAGGGCTCAGTCCCACAAGATGGCTCCCACCCCACTTCAGATGCCAATCAGAAGTAGAAGGTCCCCAGGTTACTTACAACTTCCACCCAACGTGGCTACAAATTGGCGGTTCCCGTGGCCCCCTTCTTGATTCAGTTAATTTGCTAGAAGGGCTCACAGAACACAGGGAAGCACTCACTTACCTTTAGCAGCTCATGAAAGGATACCGAGGAGCAGCCAGATACAGAGATGCACAGGGCAAGGCCTGGGAGGGTCCCCAGTGCAGGAGAGCGTCTACACCCTCCTGCTATGTGGATGCCCCAAATTGGAAGCTCCCCAAGTCCCCTACTAGTGGGATTTTATGGAGTCTTCCTCATGTAGGCATGAACAATTAGTACCTCCATTTCCAGCCCCTCTCTCCTCTCTGGAGGATGGGGGATGGGGATGGAAATTCCAAGCTTCCAACCATGGCTTGGTCTTTCTGGTGATCAGTCCACATCCAGGAGCCATCTAGGAGCCCACCCAGAATCAATATAATTAGGAACTTACAAGGGTTTTAGGAGCCTGTGTCAGGGTCAAACAAATGTTAGAACAAGAGATGCTCCCAGTGCTCTGACAGGACAAGGAAGCTAAGAGAGACTGGAGCGTGTGTCTGACACCCTGGTACTCACCAGACTCTCCCTGTTTCCCACACTTCCCAGCCGCCTCCTGGGACAGATCATGTGACCTATTCTATTGAATGGGCTGTAGGAGGAAGGGACATATACTAGAAGCACTTCCTGTCTAAAGTGTCATAGAGCCAGTGTGTGACTCTCCAAATGTATCTTCCTAGCTTGGCATTTGGTGGATGCCCATGGGGCCTGGGACCTAGAACCTTGACAAGAGGGTGCTGGCTGGTGCCCTGGGGAGAAATTGCTGCTGTGAGGTGAAGTATGGTGAGGTGGTGCTGCTCATAGGAACAGGAAGCTACCGAGAACAAAGATGAAGAAGTGAATTCTTTCTCCCTCCTCCAGCCGTGGGGTGTCCCTCTAGCCCCATCCTGACTATTGGCAAAGTCTAACAAACTCTAACGTGGGGCACTGGTAACACAGAAATGTGGTTCGTGAAGCCTGAGCCCCAGCCCCAGCATCACAGTGTGGGGTTTTTTCAGTATTTATTTTTGTGTTATATTAAAAATGTTAGCATTATAAGTGTACAGTTCAGTGTGGCATCAAGTACATTCACATTGTTATGCCACCATCACACCATCCATCCAGAATGTTTTTCATCTTGCAAAACTGAACTCAGTACCCATTAAACTCCCCACTCCCACTCTCCAAGCTTCTAGAAACCACTATTCTACTTTGTGTCTTTATGGATTTGACTACTATAGGCACCTCATATAAACGGAATCGTACAATATTTGTCCTTTTGTGACTGACCGGCTTATTTCACTCAGCATAATGCCTTTGAAGTTCATCCACGTTGTAGCATGTGCCAGAATTTCCTTCCTTTTGAAGGCTGAATGAAATTCCACTTTATGTATATATCACATTTTGCTTATCCATTTAGCTGTCAATAGAGAAGTATTTTTGTATTATCAACTATTATATTTAAAAAGTCTCCGATTAGTCTGGCTGTAAACATTGTACATATAATGCAAATCCCCCACACTCTGTGTTTGTATGCAATGAGTTTACTTTTTCAAAACCATAAAAACAATACACTAACAACATGCAAGTCGATTTTAAAAAATCAAAAGGCCTACCAATCATCAGACCATCCTAACAACAGGGCTTTTTATTTTCACTTCTTCTATTTTTTCAAAGTTATAACTCCTGCACCCCATCCCACTGAATGTTCTGCCACATCATAAACCTTGTTGCCTGCTATTACAGGGTTGTTATTGCCAACCCTGAATGAGTGAAATGCTGTTTTCTTCACCACTTCCCTCCTTTGCTTCTATGAACATCTGGATTGTATTCTTCAGGACTGTTTTGGTTGCAAATGAGGGAAACCCTACTCAAAGCTGCTTAAGCAAAAACAAATTGGTGTGTGTGGTGGTGGTGGAATCCACTGGCCTCAGTCACTGGAAAGAATGCAGGAGGAACTCATTGAACTGGGACCTGAAACCAGGGACTAAAACGAGCAAGCACTCTACCTCTCAGCCTATCTCTTGTGTGGTCCTCTCTCTACTTCTCTTTTAAGATTAGACTCTTCCTTTCCAAGCACGGACAGGTCTTCCCCACCTGGCAGGTTACATGGCCTCTGGCAGCCCCAGCTTTGCAACTGCAATAGAACAAGCATCCAGCTAGCAATCCCAGAGAAGGGCTGTGATTGGCTGTGCTGACCCACTCAGCCAACCCACTTAGCCAATCCTGTTGTTAGAGTGGGCATGCATTATAATTGGGCAGGCCTGATCACATGTCCATCCCTACGGCCAGAATGGTGACAGCGTCTGTTGCTTTCAGATAAAGGGGAATGAGAAGTCCTGTTGGAAGACAGAAAACAACCATCAGGCTTTACACAGGCTTCTGCTTGTCACCATGGCAAGACTAGATAAACTTCCTCACACACTGAGCTCTTGGTTCTAACAATTACTTTTTGAGAAATTCCCAAGGATAGGATTACTTGATGGTGCTTTCCAGAACCATGTCACATATTTGTGTTTTTCAAAGCATGTTCACACCCAATACCTTATTTGTGCCTCATCAAAAAATGCTCATAACTGACAGAGAAAGAACCAGTGACACAGAGAAGTTGAGTGAGGGGTCCAGGGACATTTAGTAGATGAGGACAGAGGTGAACCTAGGGACTTCCTGACTCCCATCCCAGTGTCCCCCACCCCAACAGCATCACAAAACTTAGATTAGTGGTGGGGGGTTCAAGCCCGGGGTCATCTCTGACCAGTTAAGGGAGGGAGCTTCGTCGGCCATCTACCCCTTGGAGGAGCTGGGCCAGCCGCCTGGATGACACGGGCTGGTGACCCCGGCCTTCGGAGCCTGCTCGAGCTCTGATGGGCGATGTCCCTCTGCTGGACACGGCATCCTCCCAGTGGGCACTCTCAGAACGCAGCTCCTCCAGGACACTGCGAAGATGCCTCAGTGTGAGCAGGAGCTTCTGGTCTTGGATCTGCATCTCGGCCTGGGAGAGAGAGAACAGGTCTGTGAGGGGCGGGCAGTGCGCTGGACACTTCCCCAGAAAGCCTGTTCTCATCACTGTCTCGCCGGAGACAAGCCCACAAGCTCAAAGAAGCCGTTTGCACCAAAGCCTCAGTTTCTTCATCTGCAAAGCGGAAAGCAAATTACCTACCTCCCAAGGCTCTTACTGTAACCAGCTCAAAATGGTCCTCTGCTGTTCGACGAGATACTGAGTTGCTTTTCAGACAAAGCAGACCAAGACCACAATCATGCAGCCGGAGCATGGCACAGAGGAGAGAACTTTGGCCTCCAGCTGCACCCAGAACCAAGGTCTCACCACAACCACCACCCCCGCCCCACCTCCCATCCTCCACCTCCCATGCCCCAGCCCGCACCTCACAGAACCACAGGACCAGGACATGACCGGAACTTGAACACTGGAATCCTTTCAGAAGTCAGGGTTCTGTTGTCCAGGAAGATCCAGTGTTGATGCCTTTTTACCACCGATGGCCAGGTTCCGAGGTCCTCTAAGACGTGCCCCAGCAGCACCAGCACTTCCTTATAGCCCCTTAAGAACCCTTGGCCTGGCCCAGTGGGCAAGATGGATCTGAGGCACCACTAGGTCTCCCATCTTCTCGGTGGGTGCCTTCTTGATCAGAGAACCTTTCCTTATTCCAAACCCAGACATTTTGAGTTTTGGCCTTTTGAAGCATTGGGCACACAGACTTCGGTCCAGTAACATTATGAGGATGGGATGAATTAGTTCCCACTCTAAAATAGGGCCTGCGGGACTACCAAGATCTGTGAGGATCTTCATTATCATCATCATCAATATTAAACATGATTCTTCTTATTTACAACCCCACTTACATGCTATAACCCTCACTAACAAATCATTTTATAGGCATTAAGGAGATAGTGACTTCATATTAAAGTGAAGTACACCCTGCAGGCAGTAGTAATAACACCAAGAGAGCAGGGAGCTAGAAAGAGGAAACCCCCGAGAACACGCAGCCATCCCTTCCTAATTCCTGGGAAAACGTTGCCTATATTTTCTCAATTTTAGGGTTTTCCTCCCACACATTTTTAAAAAAAATATATTTTTATTGATTTCAGAGAGGAAGGAAGAGGGAGAGAGAGATAGAAACATCCATGATGAGAGAGAATCATGGATCGGCTGCCTTCTGCAAGTCCCTCACTGGGGATCCAGCCCACAACCCGGGCATATGCCCTTGGCCTCCACTCCCCATTTTCCTCACTCTCACTGCTCTGGGCTTGCACCTCCAAAATGAATTGTTAGTACCCCAATCCTTGTGCAAGCCTCTGCCCCAGGCGGACACAGAGCACACCCAGGCTAAGACAGCGGCTGTACTCCACAGCCACCTGGGTCAGGATTGTAGCAGACGTGCCGGGCAGACACTGAGCGAATTACACCATCTTCTCACCGAATCCTTTCAGTAACCCCTGCAGTGTTGGTACAACTGTTACCCCATCTTATGATAAGGAAACTGAGGCTCAAAGAGGTAAAGCCACTTGGTTGGAGCCACACAGCAGCAGAGCTGGGCACATACCCAGGACTCAGTGTAATTTCTGAAACCGGTCTGGCACGCAGTGCACCCAAGGCCTCCTATGTAGGCCATGACCTACTTATCCTTGTACCTGAGGTGGCGTCTGTGCACTGTGTGGCTGGTCCCAGAGGGCTGCCTGCAGGGCCTACACCCCAGCCTGCAGCCTCTGTCCCAGCCAATGGGGCACCTGGGAAGGGGGACCAGCAAACCTTGGCATATGTGGGGTGGAGGCATCAGGTAAAAAGAAATGCAGAGCCTTACCAGTTCCTTCCTCAGCCACTCCAGGGTCTGCCCAAGACTCGCGGTTGGCTCTTCTGCTGTTTTCATCTCAGTGTCCTTGGGAGGGACCTTGACGCTGGCCTGGTGATGGGCCTGACAGACCGTTGACTTACACAGTCTCCTGCCTGCTTCAGGCTGGAAGCAGAGTCTGGCCAAATCACTGAGGATGAAGTTAATGAGACCAGGAAGTGGCTCACATTGGAAAATGTAGGTTTTTTTTTTTTTTTAAGGGTTTCAGTGCTCTAAAGAGAAAAGGTAGGGAGGGCAGGAGGGAGACCATTGGGACAACAGTGCCTCCGTGACTGCGAGTTCCAGAATCCAAGATCTGATGCCAATAGGATTACAGAGACTGCAAAGCTTCACATGATGAAAACAACAATTATTATGAGAATAGGGGTCCTCTTCTGAGGGCTCCAAGTGACATATATATCTATAGTCTCTCCCTCTAAAACATGTATTTCTATTATTTATATATGAAATCTCACTTGGGGCAAATACCCCATCTATTCCTTCCGTGTCCCCAGTCCCTCCCTCCCTTCCTCACTTATCCATCGCGTCTAGATAAAGGGGAATGTTCACTCCCCAAGTCCCCCTGCTTCTGGGATGCCCATTTCTAGCAAATGGGATCAAAATAGAAATTTGCTTTGAGACTGCTAGGAAAACTTTTGTCTAGCTGGCAAAAGGGAAAGTGTCAGCGATGCTCCCCTTTCTTCCTACTTTCTTCCCCATCTTTCTGCCTTGAATGTGGGTGTGATGCCTGGAGCTACAGTAACCAGCTTACACCCCTAAGTAAGACAAAGGGCAAGAAAACTGCATAGGCTTTGCGATCACTGAGTCACAGAATCACCAATAGCATCTGCCTGTTTTGTGAGACAGTGAACCCCAGTTTTAACTGGGCAAACACAGCCTTAACTGACACCTCATTTATTCCTCACAACTTGCTATGAAGCAGATATCCTTTTATTGTTGTTGTTAATCTTCACCTGAGGATTTTTTTTCCATTGATTTTTACAGAGAGTGGAAGGGAGGGGGAGAGACAGAGAGAGAGAAACATCCATGTGAGAGAGACACATTGATTGGTTGGCTCCTGCACGCACCCCAACCAGGGCCAAGGATCGAGCCTGCACCCTAGGTATGTGCCCTTGACCGGAATGGAACCCGGGACCCTTCAGTCCACAGGCTGATGTACTATCCACTGAGCCAAACTGGCGAAGGCTGAAGTGGATACCCTTTAATTCTCTCTTTCCACAATCACTTATTGAGTGCCTACTGTGAGCCAAGTTCAGCTGTAGGAACTGGGTACAGAGGTTGGATTGTCACAAGGACACTGTCACAAACCTCTCCAAAACTCCATGCTTTCAAACAACAATTGTTTATTTTCACCTTTGAGTTGGTGGGTGGTGGGGGTGGTCTGCATCAGACTTCAGATCTGCAGATTTGAGCCTGCTTCATGGGTCTCTTGTCCTCCTCCTCGAATCACTGGGCCACTGGGGTGTGTTCTTCCCTTCTCAATGGCAAAGGATAACAGAGCAAGTGGAACCACGTGAGGCCTCTTAAAGCCTACGCTCAGAACTGTCACTTTCACCACATTCCATTGGGCAAAGTGAGTCCCATGGCCAAGTCCAAGGTTAAGGGGCAGGGATGCACACTCCACCCAGGAAGAGGTCACGTCAAGTGTGTGGAGTTGGGGAGGGGTGAGAAAGTGGGACCAACAATACTACACCAGGAAGGAAGTTAGTTCAGAAGTGGGGCCAGAGCCTGGAGGGGCCCAGAGGAAAGACGGCAAGCAGAAACCAGCAGGTGGTGGGAGCCAGAGATAGGAAGTATGGCTGTGTGACCGTGGCAGGAGACCCAGAAAGAACTAGAGAATTGAAGGATAATGTAGGACAATCAGCATTTATTGATCTACTACAGACCAGGTATCATGGCATCCATAACTTCATTTCATCTTCAAAACCTTCTGGCTTCGATTCCCAAACCATGTGCCGAGGCACCCTGAGGTATGGCAGAAATCTCACAGATGCACAACAAAGTATTTTAAAAATTTGAAGAAAACACAATAACCTCTGTTGGGTACTGTGTAAACTACAATTATTAAGTTGTTTAAAACGAATTGCTTAATAACTGTTAGGTATTTCTTTGGGCCTGGCATACTGTGAAAAAATTACTGACATGCTAAGGGTGCTGTGAACTGAGGAAGTTTAGGAACCTCTGCCTACGAGGGAGACACCATTGTTATCTGCATTTTATAGTTGATTACAGATAGATCCTACTATTCGCCCCTTTTTCTAGATGAGGAAACTGACATTCAAAGAGGCCCTGGCTCTGGCCGGTGTCACTCAGTGGTTAGAGCGTCTGCCTGCGGACCAAAGTGTCACCAGTTCAATTTCCAGTCAAGGGCACATACCCCGGTTGCAGGTTCTGTCTCTCTTATGTTGATGTTTCTCTCACTCTCTCTTCTCCTCCCCCTTGCTTCCACCCTCTCTAAAAATCAATGGAAAAAATATCTTCACTCCTCTGATAAGGACTGAAAAAACAAAACCAAACCAAGAGGCACGGATTTCTCAGGATCACCCCCGCAGGGCTGGAATTAGAACCTGTTCCCCCTGACCTGTGTGGAAGGCCTTGCCTGTTGTTTTGAAGTGATGGAGCGCCAGGCAGGGGCTCGAGCCAGCCATCTGCTGAGCTCCTGGGCAGGCCCAGTGGGTTCTCTGTCCGACACAGTGGAGGGTCGATAGGAGTGCGTGGCAGTTGGAGTCTGGCGCTCGGTCCTTGGCCTCCAGTGCTGACACCTGATCACCTGGAAAGCCATTTCTCGTGGTTAACTTGTTCTGATGCACTTTCATTTATTTTTAATCTTGGGATTCTGGCTCATTTTACTTCATAAGCTCAGAAAGGCTTGGCATGTGGGGTAAGGGAAGGGGGAGCCAGGAGGCCTGGAACAGGAAGGAACTTAAACTCTGAGCAAGGAAAAATGTCTCCACCAAATACAAAAGCCAGAATCGCCATCTATTCATCATCCATGGGCAGCTAATAATATGGCTTCCACCCCTCAGGGGATGTCCGCCTGCCGGCTTAGGCCCTATCCCCGGGGATCATGCCTAAGCTGGCAGTCAGACATCCCTCTCACAGTCTGGGGCTTTTGCAATCTGGGACCCCTCGCTCCTTACCACCTGCCTGCAGAGGAGGCAAGAGAGGCTCCTGCCATCACCACTGCACTTGCCAGCCATGAGCCTGGCTTCTGGCTGAGTAGCGCTCCCCCTGTGGGAGCACACTGACCACCAGCGGGCAGCTCCTGCATTGAGCGTCTGCCTCCTGGTGGTCAGTGCACGTCATAGTGACCGGTTGTTCTGCTGTTTGGTCAATTTGCATATTAGGGTTTTATTATATAGGATATGTAGAATGAATACATGAGTGAAGGAATGAAGGGATTTGCAAATGAAGAAACTGTGGCTCAGATGGAGATACGAGTTGCCCAAGCCATTCAGCAGCTGTGGCAAACATCGGTTGTCCTTTGATATCCCTTCTCCTAGTCACTCATAGCAAAGACACAGTCCCAGTTTCCCTTGTAGGTAAGAGTGGCCATGTGGTTAAATCCTGGCCAATGGGATACAAATGGAAGTGATCTGTGCAATTTCTGGGTTGTGCCCTTAAAAGGAAGGAGGAGGGGCCCTGCCTCTTCCTCATCCTCCTGCTGACTGGAATGTAGCCATAAGGGCTGGAGGTGGCGTAGCCATCTTGGACCACAAAGTGGAGGATGGCAGAGCAACAAGATAGCAGGAACCCAGGTCTCTTGTGACTGAAGCCACCATGCCAGGCTTAACCGCCAAGTATACTTTTAAATGAGACAGAATTAAGTTCTGCTTTATTAAAAACACTATTTAATACAGGAGTCAAACCAATGTCCTTAGAAATATAGCGGCAGAAGTCAGGTCCCTTGATTTCCGCCCCCCTCTGGCCCTTTCTATAATCCTCCCACCTATTTTATTTTCTTCCAAGTGTTTTCTTTTCCTGCTCCTCACAACAGCTCCGTGAAGTTCATAGCAGAGAGCGCACCCCCGTGACGCTCACAGGGCTCACAGGGATGCGAGAGGTGTAGTGACCTGCCCTGAGACACATGGGCAAAGTTCCCATCTCTTGGACGGGGCAAGTGGACTCAGAGGTGTCATTTAGCTCTGCCCCCATTTCTGACTCCCAGTCTAGGGCCCTCCCCGCCCTTGGGGCTGTCCCCTCTCCTATTCTAGGCACCTTAGTCCTCTCCCCCACTTAGTAAAATACACATGAGGCAGATGTGTAGCAGGAAGAAGCTTCCACATGTTAGAGCCCTCAAACCCTCCCACCCTCCCTTCCTCCCACGTGAGCACCTGCCATCGTGCCAACTAGGGGGAGCATGGGGATGATGCACCACAGAACATGGTGGTTAAGATGACTGAGTTAATATTCGAAAAGCACTTAGAACAGTGCCTGGCATACGGGGAGGCCCATATAAGTGGCTGTAAACTAAAATACACACACAAGTAATTCATTACTATTACTTCACCTCTGAGCCTGTTAAGTGTTCTTCCCTCTTCCAGGAATACTTTTCCTTTCTCCCCCTTCCTTCACCTAGCGAAATCTCAGTCTTACCGGGGCTATTCTTTCATATCACTCCCCTTGACACATTGCAGGCTGTTTTCAGAGTTTTGTCACCTAGAACACAGGGGGTCAGATTTGATCTGTATTTTTCAAACTTCTGCTACTCATGTACCTCCTCCTCAATTTTTGCCTACCATCTCTGCTTTGATTTACGTATATTTGTTTTTAAATTATTCTTTAAAGGAATGATTTTTTTTCCTGAGTGACAGAAATGAAGTGGTCTCTATTTTCTCTCTTGTCTCCTTGCACCTGAGGGAGAATGAGCAGCCACAGGGAGGATATTTTCAAAATGCAAACCTCTCTCCTGCTCATTGCCACCCACCACAATGTCCACAAAGGGTCTTCTTTGGTTCAAATACACCCTCAGGCTCAGGAGATGATTGTGGGCCAAGGTGTTAGCCCACAGCTGGTAAGAGGACCAATTAGCAGTCAAGTGGGTCCTAAGTCCCACTTGGCATTGGCCTATGCTGCAGGATAGAGTACAGAAACCTCAGCTTGCTAGCATGGCACCCCACAAATGCTAGCATCAGGCGCTCCTCTCTCAGCAGCAGTCCTCGCTGCCATCCAGCAGGCAGTACAGTGCAGGTGCAAGGCTGTGAGATCCCCATCCGTTGGGTACAGGAGCCATCCTGGCTTAAAAGCTTCATGTCCCATGGAGCCAATATCTTTGCACCTGCCCAGTTACATGTGTCACCAGGTTCATGAAGCCCAAAGTATGATTTCCTGCCATGCATTTATAATTCCTCCTAGCCCAGATGTAATTTACCAATCAGTGTCTTTAAAAAACCACTTTATTTATTTATTTATTTAATTTTTAGAGAGAGTGGAATGGAGGGGGAGAGACAGAAACATCAATGAGAGAGACACATTGATTGGTTGACTCTCACATGCCCCCCGACCAGGGCTGGGGATCTTTTAGGCCTGCAACCAAGGTATGTGTCCTTGACTGGAATCGAACCCAGGACCCTTCAGTCTGTGGGCTGATGCTCTATCCACTAAGCCAAACCAGTTAGGGCAAAAAAACTTCATTTTTTAGAACAATTTTAGAGTACAGAAAAATTGGGAAGGTAGTAGAGAGAGGTCCCATATCCTCACACTCATCTCCTCTATTATTAACACCTTATATCAGTATGATACATTTGTTACAATTAATCTATAATAATAAAAGGGTAATATGCTAATTAGACTGGACATCCTTCCAGACAAAGCCGGGACCAGAGTGAAGCCTGTGTCCTAGGTGCCAGAAGGAAGCCAGTGCTGGCAGCCGGGGGAAGGAAGGCCTACTCTTGCATGAATTTTCGTGTATCATGCCTCTAGTTAACTAATATTGATGCATTATTAGCTAAAGTCCTTTATTCTGATTTCTTTAGTGTTTACCTAATGTCTTTTTTTCTGTTCCAGGATTACATTGAGGATAACATGCCATATCTAGTCATCATGTCGCTTTAGGCTCTGCTTGGCAGACGGTTTCTCAGACTTCCCTTATTTTTGATGACTGTGATCGTTTTGAGGAGTACTGTTCAGGTATTTTGAAAAATGTCCCTCCATTGGGATTTGTTTTATGCTCATCTCATGGCTAGACTAGGGCTATGGGATTGGGGAGGAAAACCACAGGGGTAAAGTGCCATTCTCATCACATTATATCAAGGGCATGTACTGTCAATATGATTTGACCGTTGTTGACCTTGATCATCTATCGGAGGTAAGCAGGCATGTCAGGTTTCTCCCCTGCAAAATTGCTCTGCTCCCCCACCCCAACTCCCTTTCATGGGAGATTTATCTTTTCTCCCATTTTTTCATTTATCATACTTTAGGGTAGAATCCAATATTCCTTTATTTATTTTGTTGATCACATTTTTCCAGGTTTGGCCATTGGGAGCTCTTCCAGTTGGTCCCTATGTCCTTTGACATAACGTGTGTGTGTGTGTGTGAGAGAGAGAGAGAGAGAGAGAGAGAGAGAGAGAGAGAGAGAGAGAGAGAGAGAGAGAGAGAGAGAGAGAGAGAGAGAGAGAGAGAGGGAGAGAGAGAGAGAGATTTGTTTACTTAAGCACTTCCTTAGTTTCTGGCACTATATAATGCTCCAAGCTCATCTTGTATATTTCCTGCCCCAGGCCTACAATCAGCCCTTTCTCCCTGATTCCTTTTTATTGGAGAATGGTATTAGAAACCAAGATCTGGGCACTAGGTGTGCTTATTGTTACGCAGTCTCATTGCTTCTAGGACCTTTTGGCTGACAGAGAAGGAAATCATGCATGTATACCAGTGATGGCGAACCTATGACACGCGTGTCAGAGGTGACACGCGAACTCATTGTTTTGGTTGATTTTTCTTTGTTAAATGGCATTTAAATATATAAAATAAATATCAAAAATATAAATCTTTGTTTTACTATGGTTGCAAAGATCAAAAAATTTCTATATGTGACACGGCACCAGAGTTAAGTTAGGGTTTTTCAAAATGCTGACACGCCGAGCTCAAAAGGTTCGCCATCACTGATGTATACTAACCCGGTGTATATAATTTACATATCTATAAATATTTCTATATGGAGTCATCTGCATCTATAAGAGCCAAGCACGAGTTCATACTGATATCTCCAATCCATTACCACATGGATCATTCCAGCCTCCTCCTCAGGGGTCATTTTTATCACAGCAATGTTGCCTAGTAACATAGTGGACACATGTTTATGTGTTTCCAAGGAGACAGTGCTAGACAGTTAACGAAAGGTACAATTCTCAGGCAAAAGAGGAAAAGATGTTAAGCCTTTACTCTCACTGATCAGTGGCTACTCACTGCTCTGAGGATAAAGAGCTAACACCTTGGCCCACAAGGTTCTGCAGTGACCTGGCCTGCTGACAGTCCAGCCTTTTCTCCTCCCACTTGCTTTCTGCGCTTCCATGGCAACCACGCTCTTCTCCTTCACACTCACCATACTCCCTTCTCTCCTAGGGCCCTTGCCCAGGTGTCTCTCTGCTGGGTCTCTCTTCCTGGCCCTCTTTACCTGGCTGCCTCCTACTCATCTCTCCGATCTCTGCTCAGTCCTCGCTTCTGCTGGGGAGTCACCCCATCTCCCTCCCAGGCTAGGTCAGCACTGTTTCGGGCTTGCACAGCCTATGCACCTTTGCGTTGTAGCACTTACTACAACAGCAGTATTATGTTTCCTTTTCCTTTTCTCCCACTAGAATCAAGCTTCCTGAGGGTGGGGATGATGCTTACCTAGTTAACAGTATATAACAGGGGCTCATCCTCTCTTTGTTGAAGTTCTCACTGTGTTCACCATTCTTCTCCCCAGTTCAGTGAGCATCTTTATGACCAATACTTTAAAGTCTTTATCAGGTAAATGATTTATCTCCATTTCATTAAGGTTTTTTCCTGAGGTTTTTGTCTTGTTCTTTCATTTGGAACCTATTCCTGTGTTTCTTCGTTTTGCTTGACTCTCTGTGTTGGTTTCCATACAGTAGATGAAGCAACCACCTCTCCCAGTCTTGAAGGAGGGGCCTGTGTAAGACAAGAACTTTTGTGATTCAGCCCTGCCTCCGCTCTGGGCTGTCTCTCAAACTTTTGTACTTGTCCAAGCAGCCTGTTATATTCTTTTATTAAAAATATAGTTTTATTGATTTCAGAGAGGAAGGGGGAGAGAGAGAGAAACATCAATGATAAGAGAGAACCATTGATCAGCCGTCTCCCGCATGCCTCCAACTGGGGACTAAGCCCGCAACCCAGGCATGTGCCCCCAACTGGAATTGAACCCGGGACTCTTCAGTCCGCAGGCCGACACTCTATCCACTGAGCCAAGCTGGCTAAGGCCCTATTATATTCTTAATAGCTCCCAGTAGTTGAGGATGTGCCAAGACCTATCATTATCCTAAAGGGGAGGATCTCAGTCCATAGACATAGGCTGACTGGGAGCCAGATCCTCGGGCACCGGCTTTTAAAAGTATGCAAATATAAACAGTCCGTGGGACTGCTACTGACCAGCAGAGCCAGGTGATCTGGAGGTGTCACTTGGGTGGCAGTTGCAAAAATCAGGGCTCCAGACGAGTGCGTAAGTCTTTTCTGGGTGATACTGGTGAGCTGCAGCAAGGCAGAGGGGGAGCGCCGATGTGGCATCCACAGCCCATGCTCCTTGAGAGGAACTCTCTAGGCCACTAAACATGTGTCAGACCTGAAGCCTGACCCTCAGACCAAAGCTCCAGGACAAGCAAAGAGGCCTCCTGCACAGAAAGACTCGGGGGTCGGCCTCAGTCCACTGTGTGTGCAATGCCCCGGGGGCAGCAGCTCTCCAAGAACTTTCTAATTGCCATGGTCCCAGAATGCAAGCCCCACTGGCACCAGATCCAGGCAATCAAGGGGTGTCCCCTGGGCAGAAGCTGCAAAAACCAGTGCAGACTCATGTAAAGCTCCCTTCAGGAGACACTGGTGCTCCAGAGCATGTCAGAGGGTGAGCGCAAAGACCCCCTCAGGGGTCTCTAGAAAGGATTACAATCGGCCCCTCGATGCATATTTAATGAGAATCCTGCCCCTCAGGCCTCAGGCATGATGATTAGCTAACCAAGCTCTTGGGTCTGTTGTCCCTTGCTGTGTGCTGGGGTAGCTGTTAAAACTCTCCAGTAGTTATAGTCCTGTAGGACCCACGAGCATAAGCCCCACTGGTCACCAGAGCCAGAAAAGGTAGAGGTGTCCGTCAGCAGTAGTCATAAACATTGGGGTGCCAGTGAAGGGCATAAGCTCCTTTCTGGGTGACACCAATTATTATAGTCCCTGGCTTCTCTGGCCTCCAGAGCCAAGCAACAGGAGGTGTCCCCTAGGCAGCAGCCACAGAAATTGGGACATCAGACGTGTGCAAAAGCTCCATTCTGGGAGATGCTGGTGCTCTGAGCATGGCACAGGGCGAGTGTGAAGATGGCACCTGCCAGTCTCCATCCCTGGACAGTCCCAGCAGACTCCCAGACACATGTGTTACATGAGATGCCTGGCTCCCAGGCTGACGCTTTAACACAAGCAGGTGAACCTCCTTCACTTTAAGTCTGGCACGGCCGGCTGCCTCTGAGCTGGGCCCTGGGCTGAGCAAGTGAGACCTTTAAGAGCAGTTTCTCAAATTGCTTCAGTCTTGTGGGTCTCAGGATGGGAGGCACATTGGTTTTCAAAGTTAGACATTTTGGGGACTCATCTCTCAAATGTATGTCTTAAAAGTTGGAATGCCCAATGTGGGGGTTCAAACCCTTTGATCCTAAAGGAGAAGCTCTGGGTTTTGAGTCCCACTCATTGTGAGTCACTGCACCTGGGGTGGGGGTTATGGTGAATTGTCTCCAAGTCTCTCCTAGATGAAGTAGAAGACAGAATCAGTGAACTCGAAGACAAGGCAGTGGTTACCCATTAAAGCAGCAAAAGAAAAAAGAATAAAAAAAAAGTGAAGATAGCTCAAGGGACTTATAGGACAACCAGAGGCCTGGTGCACGAAATTAGTGCACGGGTAGGGTCCCTATGCCTCGCCGGCGATCAGGGCCAATCGAGGCCTTCTGGCTGCTGGCCGGAGCCTTCCTTCCCTGGCTGCTGGCTGGGGCCTTCCTTCATTCTGTGCCACCCCGTGGTGGTCAGCACACATCATAGCGAGCGATCAAACTCCCCGTTTCCTGGTCGAACTCCCGAGGGACACTTTGCATTATATATAAAGGAGGAGATAAAGAGAAAGGGGCAGAAGTATTATCTGAGGAAACAATGACTGAAAGCTTCCCTAACTTGGGGAAGGAAACACATCCAGTCCCAGGAATACCAGAGAGTTCCAGATAAGAGGAACCCAAAGAGACATACACTAAAACACATTATAACTAAAACGTCAAAATTTAAAGCTAAGGAGAGAATATTAAAAGCAGCAAGAGAAAATAACTTATGATGTACAAGGGAACCCCTATCAGACTATAAGTAGATCTTTCAGCAGAAACTTCACAGGCCAGAAGAGATGGTATGATATATTCGAAGTGCTAAAAGAATAAAACTTCCAACTAAGAAGTGAAGGGGAGATAAAGAATTTCCCAGAATGGCAAAAGCTAAAGTTGTTTATCACCACTAAATCCGCCTTACAAGAAATGTTAAAGTAACATATATATATACAGTTGTTAAAGGAACTTCTTTAAGCTAAAAAAAAGGCACTTGTTAGTGCAAGAACGTATATGAAAGGATAAATCTCACTGGAAAGTAGTGAATGAATCACTTATAAAACTAGTATGAAGGTTAAAAGACAAAAGTAGTAAAATCAACTAGGATTACAATACTTATTTAAGGGATACACAGGATAAAAAGATGTAAAATGTGACATCAAAAATGAAATGTGTGAGGGACTGTAATAATATTGAGTTTTAAAACGGCATCAAATGTAAGTTGTTATCAATTCAAAATAGACTGTTATGGATATAAGTTGTTAAATGTAAGCCTCATGATAACTACAATGTGAAACCTATAGTAAATACACAAAAGGCAAAGAGAAAGGAATAAAAGCATACCACTAAAGAAAGATATTAAACTTGTGCTCAGAATAAAATTTTAAACTATTTTATCTTTCAAGAGTTGAATTTTTGCCTAGCTGATGTGGCTCAAAGGTTGAGCGTCAACCTATGAACCAGAAGGTCATGGTTGGATTTCCAGTCAGGGCACATGCCCGGGTTGCAGGTTCGATCCCCAGTTGGGGCATGCAGGAGGCAGTTGATCAATGATTCTCTCTCATCATTGATGTTTCTATTTCTCTCTTCCTTGCCTTTCCTCTCTGAAATCAATAAAAACATATTTGAAAAACAAAAGTATTATGCTAAGTGAAATAAGTCAGATAGAAAAATACAAATACCATAATGATCTCTCCTATATGTGGAATCTATCCTATATAATAAAACCCTAATATGCAAATCAACCGAATGGCGGAACGACTGGTTGCTATGACACTCACTGACCACCAGGAAGCAGACGTTGAATGCAGGAGCTGCCCCTGGTGGTCAGTGTGCTTCCACAGAGGGAGTGCTGTTCAGCCAGAAGCTGGGTTCATGGCTGGCGAGTGCAGCGGCGGTGGTGGGAGCCTCTCCCACCTCCACTGCAGGTGGGCGGTAAAGAGTGAAGGGTCCTGGACTGTGAGGGTCCTGGACTCTGAGAGTCCTGGACTGCAAGAGGGGTGTCTGACTGCTGGCTTAGACCCACTCCCTGTGGGGAGCAGACTTAAGCTGGCAGGCGGACATCCCCCAAGGGGTCCCAGACTGCGAGAGGGCACAGGCCGGGCTGAAGGACCCCCCGCCCCCAGTGCATGAATGTCATGCACCGGGCCTCTAGTAAATAAATAAACAAACAAATGAATAAATAAATAAATCCAAGCTCATAGATACAAAGAACATTTTGGTGGTTGCCAGAGGTGGGGGTTGGGGGAAGAAATGGGATAAATAGATTTTTTTTTTCGTTAAAATAAATGGAAAAAACTAAACAAAGAAAAAAAAATGGCAGGATATTCCTAGTGAAAAGGGGAGTTCTGAGGTCAACCGTGACTAGGAAATGTGTGGTTGATAAAGCTAATACAGGTTTCTTTAGAGAAGGACTCCTTAGAGCAGTGGTTCTCAACCTTGGCTGCACATATGAATCACCTGGGAATCTTTTTAAAATCCTGATTTCTGGGCCTCATCCTCTGGAAATTCTGTTCTGTTTCTTTGTTATGGGGTGGGGCCACAACATTAGTAACAAAGAAACAGAATTTCCGGAGGATGAGGCCCAGAAATCAGGATTTTAAAGATTCCCAGGTGATTCTAATGTGCAGCCAAGGTTGAGAACCACTGCCTTAGAGCCTTTAAGGCCAATATGCTTTGCAAATCTCCGACAGGGGAACAAATTATTCAGCATTTCTCAAATTCACTTGACCCCAAAACTCATGTTTTACAAAGTTCCTCTTTTTATTTATAGAAGTTACAGAAACACTGGATGAAAGATACAGTGGGTGATGAAGATGAAGTATACAATATAGTTCCTGTCTTTCCTTTAAGGCAGACATAGTCTTGCTGGGGAAACAAAGCTTTTAAAACAAATGTGCATAAAACAATGATTGACCTGTTCCACAGACAGCAGGATTTCAGGTAAAGTAAGCAGGGAAGGGAAGGTCAGTGTGGGTAGAGACACCTGGAGCTGAGATGATAGGAAAGGTATAATTTAAACCGGGGCTTGAAAAAATAGGGCAAAGGGAAGGGGTCGGGGGATGATGGTAAACAAAACAGACAGAAGAATGAGTGAGTGAGGAAATGGGTGACAGGTTTGCATAAGTCTGATTTTTCATTTGTTCAGATAGATAGACCAACCAAGGGGGGTTTACTGGACAACCTATACACAACTGATTTTATTTTTTTATTTTTTAAATATATTTTATTGATTTTTTACAGAGAGGAAGGGAGAGGGATAGAGAGTTAGAAACATCGATGAGAGAGAAACATTGATCAGCTGCCTCCTGCACACTCCCTACTGGGGATGTGCCTGCAACCAAGGTACATGCCCTTGACCGGAATCGAACCTGGGACCCTTCAGTCCGCAGGCTGACGCTCTATCCACTGAGCCAAACCGGCTAGGGCCACAACTGATTTTATAAACTACTTTTTAAAATATGTTTTTATTGATTTTTTTTGGAAAGAGGGAGAGGGAGAGAGAGATTAAAAACATCAGCGAGAGAGAAACATTGATCAGCTGCCTCCTGCATGGGCTCTACCGGGGATCCAGCCTGCAACCCCGGCATGTGCCCTGACTAGGAATCAAAACAGTGACCTCATGGTGCATGGGAAGATGCTCAATACACTGAGCCACACCAGCTGGGCTAAACTACTTTTTAAAAAATATATATATAATTTTATTGGGAGAGAGAGATTAAAAACATCAGCGAGAGAGAAACATTGATCAGCTGCCTCCTGCATGGGCTCTACTGGGGATCCAGCCTGCAACCCCGGCATGTGCCCTGACTAGGAATCAAAACAGTGACCTCATGGTGCATGGGAAGATGCTCAATACACTGAGCCACACCAGCTGGGCTAAACTACTTTTAAAAAAATATATATATTTTTTTATTGATTTCAGAGAGGAAGGGAGAGGGAGGAAGATATAGAAACATGAATGATGAGAGAGAATCATTGATCGGCTGCCTCCTGCACACCCCCTATTCGCCCCTCCCCCCTCCCCAGAGATTGAGCCTGCAACCTGGGTATGTGCCCTTGACAGGAATTGAACCTGGGACCCTTCAGTCCGCAGGCTGACGCTCTATCTACTGAGCCAAACCAGCTGGAGCTAAACTACTTTAAAATGTCATATTTTTAAGCTCAAATGATTACTAGCAATTCATTTTGGACTAGTTTTTCTTAGGAGAAAATAATATCAATAGCAAACATATCAACTGCACATCAAGAGAGGTGCCTCAGGCAGCCTGAAAGTCCTCTGTTCTCCCACACATCTACAGCTCCTTATCCAGAACTCCCAACCCCCAAAGCTCTAAGTTCTCTCCCTGAAGTGATTTTGTGGCAAAACCTTGCCTGAACTGATAAGAGGCTATTTATAGCCTTAATCTAGCCCGCTTAGTGTGAATATCCATTCATTTGGGGATGCTATCCCAGACTGCATTGGAGTATTCTATAAATTGTAGTATACGTATCACGTCATCTTTCTAAACTCTTAAAATTCTAAATTGTGACAAAGGTCTCTAAAAAGGGACTGTGGACCTATAATTCTTATTTGTACCCTAGATTTATGCTGTCTGTGAAAATAAGTGTTTGCTATGTAGCACAGCCTGTGGGTGACTCTGATTTAAAAGGGGAAAGAATAGATGCTCAGTAAATATTTGCCTATTTTCTCCATTCTCTATTCAATAAATATTTATTAGTGGTCTCCAATGTATGGGTTCTGTTTCTAGTCTCTAGGGATACAGCAGGGAGGGAAACAGGTAAAGCCTCTGCTTCCTGCAATTATTTTTGGTAGGAGTGACAATTAACAAAGATAAGCTAGTGTCTGGAGTTGATCAATTTATGGAGAAAAAAAATCAAGGAGTAAAGGGTTCTGGGGCATGTTATTTTTCAAAGGATGGTCTGGGGCCCAGCTGGTGTGGCTCAGTTGGTTGAGCAACGTCCTGATGCACCAAGAGGTTACTGGTTGGATTCCTGGTCAGGGTACATGCCCAGGTTGTAGGCTTAATCCCCAGTAGGGGGTGTGCAGAAGGCAGCAGATCAATGATTCTCTCTCATGGATGTTTCTCTCTCCCTCTCCCTTCTTCTCTCTCTAATCTTATTTGTACCCTAGATTTATGCTGTCTGTGAAAATAAGTGTTTGCTATGTAGCACAGCCTGTGGGTGACTCTGATTTAAAAGGGGAAAGAATAGATGCTCAGTAAATATTTGCCTATTTTCTCCATTCTCTATTCAATAAATACTTATTAATGGCCTCCAATGTATGGGTTCTGTTTCTCGTCTCTAGGGATACAGCAGGGACGGAAACAGGTAAAGCCTCTGCTTTCTGCAATTATTTTTGGTAGGAGTGACAACAAAAAAACCCAAAACGAAACAAAGGATGGTCTGGGAAGAAGTCTCTGAGAAGGTGACACTTGAGCAAGGACGTGAAGGAGTAAGAGAGTGAGCTCTGGGGATCTCAGGAGGAAGTGTCCCAGGCAGAAGGGACAGCGGAGGCAATGGCTCTGAGGTGGGGCCGTGCGTGAGGGAGGGAGGAAAATGTAAGTGCTTTATAGGGAGTATCTCATCTAATCCCCCAAACCCTTACGAAGTCCACTTGGCAGATGAGGAAACTGAGCTCTGAGAGGGGAGCCTTTTGCACAAGGCCACAGCTGTGAGTGGCAGCGCTGGGACTCGCTCTGGAGCGAGGTGTTGCGGCTAGCTTCCCCTCGAAGTCCCTGACAAGCCAGCCCTTTGGAAGGCACGCAGAGACCGAAGCCTGGAGGCCCTGCCTCGCTCTCCGTCCTCAAAGGCCCAGACATCTGGCTTCCCGGGTGACCTCGGCTCTCCTGGCTGCTGAGGACCCTCCTGGCTGCTGAGGGCCGCACAGGCCTTTGGAGCAGGGCAGGGCAGGGCAGGCTCTCCAATAAGGTGGCTCGAGGAGCTAGGACAGGGCTCCTCTCCTACTTACCTTTCCGGATGGCGGATCTTTGCTAAACCCTCAGAGCCCCCGGAGCCTGCACTTTCAGGATCCCATCAGCAGGGCGAACACGGAGGCTCACAGAGCAAGAGCACTTACCTGAGGCCACGCTGGCGGCCACCGAGTCTTCCCAGGAGCCCATGACCTGCAGACCAAACGTCTCTTTGGACTTGGCCTGGGCGCCCAAAACAGGGGCATCTCTTTAACTCTTGTGCTCTGGGCACCTCACTTGATTCACCTTAATCGAGACCCTGTAAAATGAAAAAAAAAACAGTGAAAGTCACCCCTACTCACCACCTGTTCACTCATCCCACCGCGCTGGGCTCCCGGGGACCAAGAGAGCACCTCGCTGGGGCCGTGCACCCCACTGTCCCACTGAGAAAGAAGAGCAGGGGAAAGGTGGCTGGTGGTGGGGAGGGTGGGGGTGTCTCAATGGCTTTCTTCCAGCCTTCAGGTGGCGCCCTCGAGCCGCGGAGCCGCACGAGTCAGTGTGGACCGTCGGAACCTAAGGACCTGGTCCTACCTGGGGGCTGTGTGCCGGGCAGAGAGGGGAGGGCTGGGGCGGGGAGGCGGCGTCTGAGATTTGCGCAGTCGGGGCG